TTCTTATACTATAAATCTCACCAGAGGAAGTTATGATGGGATAACTGTGGACCACAGTAAATGCATAGAGATGTGGTTCAGACGTTATTTGAAAATACCCCAGAAGTTCTTGACATATTGTTCTATGGGCGATATGGTGGATGGATGAGTCTTTATGGAACTGAAGACTATGCAGATAGCTCTGTATTTTGGCAAAACACTGAGTCCTACCACCAATATCTTCTTCAAAAGTGTTTTCACATTGTTCTCTTTTTTTATTGTTGTAATTAAATTTTATGAGGAATCTCACCAGTGATAGAGAACCCAGAGCCCTTTTCATCCCTCTTTCTGCCAGTGCATGCCTCTACCACCGAACTCCATAGTCCCCTAGGCAGGAATCTCCATGGGAATCATGAGCTAGCAGTGGTGGCCTGGGGAATCATTCTTACTTTTATTTAATGAGGGTTATAATAACAAAACAAAACCTCTGGCCTTCGCGTCAACTCCAACTCAGAGCCACCCTGAAGTACATTGTAGAACTGCCCCATAGTGTTTCCAAACCTGTAACCTTTATGGAAGCGGATTACTACATTTTCCTACTGTGGAGGGTTATAAAATGTCTAATAAGGAGTTTTTAAAAGGATTAAATTAGGAATTACATCATAGTTTAAGACAACTGCTGATACATGCGTAGTAAGCATATAGCGTTGTTGGTGATGTTAGTTGCTGCCCAGTGGATTCTGACTTATGGTAACCCCAGCCGCACAGGGTTTTCCAGACTGGTCGCCAGGCCTATCTTCTGAGATCCACTGGCTGGGTCCAAATCACCAACCTTTCAGCTAGTCATTGAAAGTCTTAACTGTTTATATCTCCCAGCATACAGTAAAGGCTCTTTTTAGTGACAGTGGAACTTGGTTGTAAGTCAGCAGGATCTCTCAGGCTAGCAAGCCTATAATAAAAGCATAAATTGCAAGTGGAATTCAGGAAGAGGTTATGAAGCTAAGAAGTCTTACTTCTGTTTGACTGTAAGATCCATCTGAAATGTTGAAGGTGTTGGGTGAATCAATCTATACATGCTGATTTTCATGGGCGTTGGAGCAGAAAGCAAAGTAACAGTTCTGTAAATGAGAAAGTTGTATAAACCAGACCATCTTATTTCTCGGCCATACAAGGTAGCTGATTCATTACTGTACAGTTAAAATTAAAATATTTGATTTATGTGTGCTCTAGATTTAAATAAGCCTGAAGAGCTTTAAAAAGTTTTCTAGAAGATGTGTATGGAGAGTAAAATTAAAAATAGGACGAACAACTTCCTTGCTAATGGTTGGGGGCTGGAAGTGATGTCCATGTGCCATTGTTGGACTTCGAAAGAAGGTGGCAGAGTGACCAGATAGCTCAAATGGTCTAGGAGAAATGGACAAATTTGGTAGAATGTCAATCAAAAAAATTAAGACCAGCTGATAACAGAATAAAACCCTTTTGTGATTGTGATCAAGTTTGCAGAAGGCTGCCTGCCAACAGAATGTAATATTTCAGGGACCACAGAAGAGAAGAGGATTTTGTCAGTGAGACAAGAAAGACTGGCGTTGTTCTGATCCATGAGACGCATTTCTCCAGGGAGTCCACGAAGTTTCATAATTCAGGAATTATTGAGACATAAAAAAGAAACCTAGCAATAAGCTAGAGAATAGTTGAACTACTTTGTAGGCTTTTTATTTTCCCTGACAGGTGTTTTAGCCCTTGCTTTTTTATTTCTTATTGTATTTTGTTCACAGTCTTGTCAAAACAGCATACAGATGTAAATTGGAAAAAGTTCAGACTCCCCCCTCCCTCCACACACACATACTCTTTCAACCTAACACCGTTATTAACAGTACCACTTGCTGGTTGTTGTCAGTATCCTGACTCCTGGTGACCCATGTGGGTCAGAGAAGAACTGTACTCCATTGGGTTTTCAGTGGTTGGTATAGATGTATATATATTTGGAAATAAATCACCAGACCCTTCTACTCTGGTGCCTCTCGGTGGACTGGAGCCATCAACCTTTTGGTTAGGAGTCCAGTGAACATTAACCCTTTACACTCAGGGATTTCTGTTAATAGTTAAGATTCACTTTTTCTTTACCTTTATTATTATTTTTTTAATGAAAAGGAGTTATACTCTAGGATTGTTTTGCTCTTTTCCTTTCTATGTTGTCAATGTTACTGTACACTAGTGGTTCGCAGCTGTAAGCCATTGTGCCCCACAAGGGATATTCAGCCTTGTCTGGAGCTTTTTATGGTTGCCATGGCTTTCAAGTGGAGGTTGGGAGGTACCGTTGGTGCTCAAAGTAGATACCAGCGATGCTGCTACACATCCTATAAGGCACAGTGCATGAGGACCCTCCCCCAACCAAGAATTGTTGTTGTTGTTAAGTGCTGTCGAGTCGGTTCCTACTCATAGTGACCACATGTAGAGTTTCCAAGGAGCAATTGGGCTTGAACTGCCAACCTCATAGTTAGCAGTAAAGTGAGTTTCTTACAGGGCAACACCAGGACTCAATTATCTGGCCGAAAATGCCAATAGAGTCAAAGTTGAGAAACCCAGCTCTATGTCAATACACATAAATCTAATAAATTAGTTTTTTTTTTAAAGCTTCATAATAACTTTGAAATATGGATATATCATAACTTATTCAGCTAGTTTCCTGTTGATAGATATTGCTTAGTGCTTCTCATTTAGTGATATTTATATATTTAATATTAAGAAGTCAAGTGTCTTAATTTAGTTGAAAAATCATTCTGTTTCTTTAAAGAGCAAAATATGCCATTTTTAGAAAGACTCAAAAGAGGAGCAGTTAAGAATTCATAGACTAGTATATAAAAAGATTCTGGGTCACTGTAAGATAAGAGAATTTGGTTTCAGTAAAATCTGTCTCATTCTAAATGACAAGTCCTTAAGTCATTTGAAAATCATGGCTTCATTTTTTGAGAGCTCGGAATTAACAAACCAGCAGCAGCCTTTTATATGACAACTAAAAACAGAAAAGGCTGCTTATGTATGTAACTGTAATAATTTTCAGTGAAAGCTAATTCTGAGTGTCTCTACCTCCTGTTTATGTGTATTTTAAAAAAAGTCCATTAGTACATTAAATCATAGTGTGTTAAAAACACACACACAAAAGCAGGTTTAAGATGGGGAAAAAATGATATCCATCCGAAAGACATTGAATGAGTTCCAGATGCCATTGATAGTATAATTCAGAATTGGAATGACCCTCTGGTTAACCACAGAGGATTTTACAGAAAGGGTGCTCTAAAGCAAGCAGATGTTTGCTTTACTTCTCTTAACTTTGCTTTGCTTCTCTTAACCCATCCTCCCTGCATGTCACATGGGTACCTGGAAGGATAATATAAAGAGTGAATTCTTCTTCTGTCACAGAGCTGGGTAACCATTGTGGTTGTTAGGTGCTGTGGAGACGGTTCTGACTCACAGTGACCCTACTGTGTACAACAAGACAAACCACGACCTAGTCTTACACCATCCTCACAATCATTGTCGCTTTGGAGCTCATTGTTGCTACTATGGTGTCAATCCACAGTGAGGGGATGTTCTCTCTTTTATAGTCCCTCCATTTTCCAGAAGGAATCACGGTAGCCTAGTGGGTTATGAGTTGAGCTGCTAACCACAAGGTCAGTAGTTTGAAACTACCAGCTATTCTGTGGGAGAAAGATGAGACTTTCTCCTCCCATAAAGATTTACAGCCTCCAAAACCTTATACTCAGTGGCTGTGAACCTACTGTACAGAACACACATCACATCACCACCGCCACCACCTTACCTTCTTCAGGGACTGGTCCCTTCTGACAAAGTCCCCAAAGTGCGTGAAACAAAGTCTCACGATCCTTACTTCTAAGGAGCATCTGACTGTACTTTTTTCTAAGACAGATCCGTTTGTTCTTCTGGTAGTCCATGGTCTATTCAGCATTTGCCACCAGCACCATAATTTGAAGGTGCCAGCCCTTCTTCCATCTTCCTTATTTGTTGACCAGCTTTTGCATGCATAGGATCTGGTGGAAAATACCATGATTTCTAGTCAGGCACATCTTAATTCCCAAAGTCATATTTTTGCTTGATAACATTTTAAAGAGGTCTTTTGCAGCAGATTTGGCCAATACAATGTGTTATTTGATATCTTGACTACTGCTTTCATGGGCATGAATTGTGGGTCTAAGTAAAATGAAATTGTTGACAACTACAATCTTTTCGCTGTTTGTCATGATGTTGTTTATTGGTATAGTTGTGAGGATTGATTCAAAACAAATGGAGGATTGATACAAATGAATGGAACCAAACTCTTGTCTATGTGTACGCAGGATGGTAAACCAGTTGGTGAGCCTGAAAGAGTGTCCTCATTAAGAAGCAAGAGTTGGAATCTTATTGTTCTTTGCCGATAGTCTTTGTATCAGCCATCAGTGCTACAGAAAACTAAACTGGCCTAGGTGCCGGGGGTTTGGACTCGAGCCTTCTTCAAATGTTTGCCAGGAGTCCTACTCAGTAACTCAACATACACTGGTCATCCTGCAGCAGGTCAAGCCCATCTATTGTGCTACTTGTCACTGAGTTGGCTTTGACTCATGGTGACCTCGTACACTATAGAACAAAGTGTTGCCTGGTTGTCTTTATGAGCGTTGATATGCTTTAGTCCATTGTTGTGGCCACTGTGGATTTTATGTGCCTTCCAAGCTAAGGGGCTCATCAGACAACATTCTGTGATGACTAATTTTGAGAAGTAGATCACCAGTCCTTTCCTCCTAATATATGATCATCTGTAAGCACCACTGAAGCCTGTCTACTATGAGTGACCTGGCCGATGTTTGAACTACTGTTGGCATAACTCCTAGTGTCACACCAACATGCAAACCACTATAGGGCAGCAAAGTGGCACAGACAGGTGGTGGCAAGCCATCCGAGGATCAACTAAGAGTTCATTGATACTGTTGTACACTAAATTGGTCTTCCTCTCACTGTTGCCTTTGAAGGACCAGAGCCACACACAAGTCTCCCAGTACCGTCAGGATCCCTCCCTGATCATGAGATCCATCGTGCACATGACCGATGCTGCTCGCTCTGGGATCATGCCTCCGGCCCAGCTCACCACCATCAACCAGTCTCAACTCAGTGCTCAGCTGGGGTTGAATTTGGGAGGTGCCAGTATGCCCCACACATCGCCTTCACCTCCAGCAAGCAAATCAGCAACTCCCTCACCTTCTAGCTCCATCAATGAAGAGGACGCTGATGAATCCAACAGAGTAAGTTTAAGACACACTGCTATTAATTGCATTAGTAAGTAACCTGCCTTCCATGAGTTTGGAGATAGCCAGGCTCATGTCTTTGAGTTTCATTCAAAGACGTTACACTCTTCCTTCTCTGTCTAGATTTGGACTAGCAGTTACACTTATGATAGTTTAAATTTCTCTTCACTCTTCTACTGTTTTCTTCTCTGTAGACAGGAGAAGTTAGAAGATCTGTAAGACTGTGTGGATAAGTCATTGAACTCTTCTAGGTCTCAGGTTTTCTGATTTGCAAAAGCAAGGCCTGCACGAGACTAATCAGAAATTCTAACCTGCTTTGATTGTAGTCTAATGTCTATATGGTTCAGTTTCATCCACAATGGGGGCTAAACTGCTGGCAGTTTAATAGCCTGTACTTCCAATGACAGTTATCGTTCATTAAGTTCTAAACACCTTTGCCTTTGCAGTGGAAAATGTATCCTTCAGGTGTGTTGTTGGGTGCCATCGAGCTGCCTCTGACTCATAGTGACCCCCTCTCTCAGAGTAGGACTGCCCCATAGGGCTTGGTTTCCTTGCTGTGACCGTTAAAGAAGCAAATCTACAGGTCTTCTTTCCTCAGAGCTGCTGGATGGGTTCAAACCATCAACATTAAAGTTAGCAGCAAGTGTTTAGCCATGTGTCGCCAGGGCTCCTTTTAATGGTATTGTTAAGTGCAGTAGAGTTGATTCCAACTCTTAGGGACCCTGTATAGTGTTTCCAAGGAGTGTCTGGAAGGTTTGAACCACTGAACTTGCGGTGTTTCTCCTACAAGTGTCACACCAGGACATAAAATTTGAACTAAAAATATAGCTGCAGTTGTTATACATTCTGAATAACTACCATAAGCAACTAATGAAAACTTACTCGTCGCTCATTCACTCATAGTAAGTTGTACACCTAATTTGTGCCTGACATGTTCCTTGGTTCTGGTAATGTAAAGGTTTACAGGGGAATTACTGCCCATGGGATTCCCCATTGGGGATAGATAGCTTATGTTTAAAACTTGCTCCACATGTGATTAGTGCTCTAATTGATGTATCTGGTGTGCTGAGATGGTAATCGATTCTGCTCGGAAGAGTGATTTGAGGAAGCTTTTATTGAGAAGGTGACGTTTGAATTAGGTTTGAAAGGATACAGACAATTCTGTGAGGCAGAAGAGAGAGGTAGACATTCGGGTGGTGGGAAGAGTGAGGAGCAGTGGGTGTGCAGGGGATGCATGGGTATGAGGTGTAGTTGGTTAGGGACACAGAGAAGTAGGAGTTGAAAGAAATGATTTAACTGTGGTAGTCTTCTGTTGATAACTCAGAGCTGATTAATTATTTGCATAGAGGAATGACATAAGCACATTTATGTGTAGGATCAGCACTGGACTGCAAATCACAAGGTTGGCAGTTCAAACCCACCAGCGGCTCCTTGGAAACCCTATAAGGGTCGCTATAAGTTGGAACCAACTCAATGGCACTAACAAGAACAATATGCATATATTATATATGAAATATAAATATATACATATATATATATGAAATATATGGATTGCAGTGGCTCCATAGGATCCAGCAAAGGTTTACCTTGTATAGGGTTTCCGGCTTTGTTGTCGAGTGATTATCCTACAGCGCCACACCAGGATTCCATATATCTAGGGAAAACCTCTTTCATTATGAATGGTTTCATTTAAATGAAAGCATGGCAAGGAAGAAGGAAGTTAGAAAACATTTAAGAGATATCATTAATAATAATTCCCCTGGAATTTGGAGCTGAGCTTAGACTTTAATTGTAGAGTCCTCATGGATATGAGGGTTGAGCCAGGAAGACAGAAGTGTGTGTGTGTGTGTGTGTGTGTGTGTCCGCATCCATGGGGAAGATGTGTGGTTGGTGTGGGGGATAGGTTGAATTTGCAGGCTAACAGCAGGTGGATGTTTGGGTCTAGAACTCAGCTCATTGGAGCAGAAAGATACAGGTTAGGGATCATCAGTGTGAAGACATGAGTGTAATCAGGATTTCTCAGAGTGTGTAAAGAGCAGATCATAAAAAAGATAATGATCAGTTATCTTTTTCTTTGGTAAATTTCGTGTTTATTTTCTATTTTAAAACTGCTTTTTTATTGTAGTAAGTATATATGTAACAAATCATTTGCCATTTCGGAATCTTTCAGTGACATTAGTCACGTTCATCATGTTGTGTGACACACCCACCATTCACCCATAACGGAAGCTTCGCCCTAAGGATTGCACATCTCCCAACCCCCATAACTACTAATGAACTTGCGTTTTGTTCTGTTCACCTGTTTGTTGTAGAAATTTCATATATATGAGATCATACTCTGTCCTTTGGTGACTGACTTTTGTCACTCAAGGTCCATCCATATGGTAGACCATCGTTTATTTTTATGCAGCAAGTGAAAAAAGAGCTAAAGGAGATTGAGAATGAAGGAAAAGAGGAGAGAGGCTAGAGTAATCTTGCAGAAGCCAGAGGGATTTCGAGAAGCAGGATTTGGTGTAGCTCACACTAGTGGGCACAGAGCTAGTGAATGCACTCACAGCTTGTGCCACAGGACTTCCGGGTGGTGAAGAGTGAAATGACGATGAAAGAAACTCAAGAAAGATGTGAATAAGATGCAGATAAGTTGCGCAAGGTCAATTTGAACTGCAAGGTCGGCAGTTCATACTCACCAGCCACTCCTGGGAAACCCTGTACAGGGTCGCTATGGGTTGGAACCAACTCGACAGCACTTAACAATAAGAAGTTAAAACTAGCCATACAAATTAAGGTGATTTCCTTTCATTTCACTCTTATTCCCTGTGATCATAACTCTACAAACCAAACTGAAGTAGTTATGTCTAAAGAGAACCTTGTAAGTGACTCCTGACTTGCTCCATTTTAGAGGAGGGTGTAGGGATCTTAATTGTTATCTGTGGTGCTACGGGATAAAGCACTGGACCACAAGGTCGGTGGTTCAAATTCACTAGTCCCTCCTTGGAAACCCTAATATATGGTCACTATGAGTGGAACCCGAATTGACGGCCCTTAACTGTGGGTTAACATGCTGGACTGCAAGGCCAGTAGCTCAAGCTCACCAGCCACTCTTCAGAAACCCTATACAGGGTCATTATGATTAATGACAGCACTTCACAACAACAGCAAAGCAGTTGAGAAAAATTAAAATTATTGATTATGTTTCTGGCGGGTAAAGCTATTTCTCTATCTTTTCCAACCCTTTCAAACATTAACAAAAAAGTTGTTTAGGAGAATAAATTCTGAGCTTTTAACTGAACTATGGGCTTCTTCCTCTCTGTTTAATTCTTGAAAGTAATAATGATTACGGCAAGTCATGGTTTTACAAGAAAGGCACATCAGCGGTTGTCCCCATTTGAATGGTATTCTCTAGAGATTGAAGTGAGACTTGTCTGATTCAGATAAAACTAGAAATGATTTGGCCATGGGTCAGGTTGCTGTTACTATCAGTATCACATTTATATCTAGGGAAAAAAATAGAATTGTTTCATTCTATTAGAAAACGAAACTGTATATATGTATTCTTGTTTTTGAAATACTTTTTTATAAGCTCAAAGCTTAGCTTAACCAATGGACATCTGATTCCCTTGCAAGTTCAGGTTTATTAACTAGAATTAAAGTCCCACTTACTCTGAGAATTTAGAAACAAGACAAGGGTAACTACTGAATTATTGAGTTAATTGTGTCATGGCATTTAGGATGAGAGGTCCGATGATACAACACATACCATCTGACATTCATATGGAGTCCTGGTGTGGCGCTGTGTGTTAATGTGCCAGACTGCAAAGCCGTTTGAACTGCAAGGTCAGAGGTTCAAGCTCAGCAACTGCTCCTCGGAAACCCTATACAGGGTTGCTGCTATGGGTTGGAACTGAGTCAACAGTACTTAACAACATGTGAAGTACATAAAGTACTAGTGTGGGTGTTATCTGGGGCACTGTTGGTTCAGTGTGAGAGACCTGGGGTTGCCACCACCGGTCTATCCATTGCTATGATTGCTGTGTAGCAATGATACTGAATTGGTTTTAGCAGAGCGTCCCAACTAAGACATGCTAAAGAAAGGCCTGGCAATTATATCTGAAAATCAGCCAGTGAAAACCCGATGGCTCACAACCGCCCATAAGGATTGTGCAGGACTTGACCAGCGGTGGACCTACCTGGAATCAGGCGGGATGGCGATTTCAGAATTCTGTAAGAGTTTGGCGCTCTCAAAGAAAACTCACTAGTTAAGAAAACTCCCTAGCAATTTTAGAAATTGGATGAAGTACCAAATGACCTTAGATCAGAAAGTAATGATACTCTTTGAAAATTTGAATAGGATTCAAGATTCAAGGCCATTAAAAGCCAATCTGATAGTAACTTGAGTTTCCATCAGTTGATCTTGCCGAGGCAGCCTCTTAAAACAGTTTTTCTCAAATACTCCAGGACCTTTGATGATTGTACCTGCCAAATTGTCTTCAGTGTGCCGTGTTGTGAAGTGCTGCGGAGTCAGTTCTGACTCATAGCGACCCACAGGGTTTCCCAGGATCAGCTACTGGGTTTGAACTGCTTACCTTGTGGTTTGCTGTCCGGTACCCACCCTACAGCACCACACTAGGGATATACCATACTGTTGAAAAGTACAGTCTGTCAAGTGAGATAATGGTAACCAGGGACTTCTACCCAGACCATTTCAGTGGGATTGAGCTCATAAAGTTTACGTTGTGGCTGTCAGGCTCCTTCTCCTATAGAATAAGGATCGTCACTCTTGGTGATTTTAATGATCAATTAATTGCTTTTTTATAGATTTTCAATTTCATGAAGAATATAGATTTTCTTTCTACCTGCACTTGAAGTAGTTTTGACATTTTACGCTTCTTGTTATTCTATTCTTTAAAAAGTTATTATCTAAAAACTCTAAAGATAGCCTTTCTCTTATGCATATTTAGTGACTGTAGCTAATTTCCATTTGAGTTTCCAGACACCCATTAGCAAAGTAACATTCTGGTAAAATAAAAGTCAGCCTGAAAAAAATCATTTCCGACTGATCATGCTTGTGGCATGTGACTATGACAAGGACCTCTTTAAATGGTCTGAATATGATCAACATCCTGAATATGATGTAAGCTTTCCCTTCTCAAACCTCTGACAATGTAAAATATGTTGTTTATGTATACATGTATATAGTAAAGCATATGTATAGCATTGCCCCGGTACAAAGTGTTCTGGCTTTCTTTACTCATAATTGCTATTTAGAACATGTGCCTCACGTGCATGGAAGGTACTTCTGGGTCTCATTAATCAATGTTCTAAATGCCAATCTCTATTGTCCAACTAACTCTTAAGCACATTTACCCCTCCCCCATTTGTTGATGATGCTTAACAAAACCTTAAAGAAACAATTGTGAGCTAAGTAAGTTTTGCTGCCTTCTGTGCAAGTGCTTCGTAGGTAGTAAATTTTCTTCTTGCTTTGCAGGCCATTGGAGAGAAAAGAGCTGCGCCAGATTCTGGCAAGAAGCCCAAGACTCCAAAGAAAAAGAAAAAGAAAGATCCCAACGAGCCCCAAAAGCCGGTGTCAGCATATGCCCTGTTTTTCAGAGACACGCAAGCTGCAATCAAAGGTCAGAACCCTAATGCAACCTTTGGAGAAGTCTCCAAAATCGTAGCCTCTATGTGGGACAGCCTCGGAGAAGAACAAAAGCAGGTAAGACACGATTCATCATGGCGATTTCTGAGCGAATACTTTTCCCTTGGTATGATTGCCTCTCAGGAAAGTCTTTCTAAGGTACAGAATTTGAAAAACCAAGCACACAAACATAAATAGAACAACTCTCCAGCCATTCGGGAACTGTGTAGGTTTCTTGGCCAGTTTGAGGGTGACTATTCGGGATCCGTCCAGAGAGGGTTGGAAGAAATCCAGGCAGCATCCTGCAAGCATAAACTTTTGATAATGATCTTTTCATTTCAAATACTGTGGATTTCCCTGCTTTGTTCCGAGGCGCTCTACAAAGGGATTAAGGCCATCCTGTGTGCCGTGTCATTGATGATCTTTCTGAACCTTTGTGCTGACCCGGTGGGTTTCTAAACTTTGAAGCCACCTATGTGTGTCTCATTATTGTCATCAGGCATTGTAATTTTTATTCCGTGTTCATTTTAAAGCTTAGCTATATGAGCGGATTCAGAGGCTAGGCATGCTGGTGGGAGATAACTTCCTCAGGGGTTTGGTCTCTTCTTCCCTAAGCCACTCCTCCACATAAACGAGGGAAGAATGGGTTCCTTGGGGGTCGGTCTGCCCCTGGCTCCTAGCTTGAAACTCCAATTACCATTCATAGGAGTTAAGGTTTACATATTGACAGAAGAATAGACCCCTATTAGTGTTGAAATAGAAAAATTGTTTCGGGAATGAAGAGTGGAAAACCCTTGCTTGTTTTGTTCACAAACCATAAACTCCTTCCTATAAGCATGTTTCAAGGGGTGATGTGACTCTGTTGCTGTTAAGTGCTGTCGAGTCGGTTCCGACCCATAGCAACCCTGTGTAGGGTTTCTGAGGAGCAGCTGGTGAGCTTGAACTGCCAGCCTTGTGATTCAAACCAATTTTGCAGTCCAGCACATTAGCCCACAGCACCACACCAGGTGCAACCGTAGAACTTTATTGTTTGTCTTCAGTGAGTTTATTGCTGTATATAGCAGACTGGTCTCTCTACTAGAAATGCCAAAAAAAAAAGAAAAAATAACCCAAATCATGTTTAAGATGATAGGTTTGTTAATGAGACTCATTGGTTTCATTCATGGGAATCACATCTTTGCTCTTCCTGCTGCCCTCTTGTCTCCCAAAACAGAGGTTGAAAGGCCTCCGTTGTCTGTCTTCACATACTCTATCACTTTAGTTTTTTACCACTTTAGTTTTTGTTTTGACCTCTTAGTGATTTAGTGCACTTAAGAAATATATGTGCAGGAAAGATGACATTGATGGAGAAACTAGTTACTTTCTATAATTTAAACCATTTGCGGCAAATTGTATTCTCCTTGCTACCTGAGTTACTGCCTTAGCATGAGGCCCTCCCTCCTGCACCGCTCTCCAGGAAACCAGGCTGTATCCTGACACGGTCCGCTCTTCTGTGGGTGTGAGCCATGGCAGCCAGGCCCGAGTGTTACACAGTAGACAGCGCCACTGGGTTTTCTAGGTGGGAATCTTTACAGATGGAGCCCCAGTGGCACAGTGGTTAAGCACACGGCTGCTAGCTAAAAGGTCAGTGGTTCGAATCCACCAAGCCCCTCAGTGGGACAAAGCTGTGGCAATCTGTGCCCATAAACATTAAACCTTTAAACCAGAGCCGTTGCCATGGAGTTGGTTCCAACCCATAGTGACCCTGTAGGAGAGATTAGAACTCCTCCTCCCTAGGATTTCCAAGGGCATAAATTTTGACAGCAGCAGACCGTCACCTCTTTTTCCTATAAAGTGGCTGTTGGGTTCAAACAGCTTTGGGAACCCTAACCCTGTATAATGCAGTTCTACCTGTCCTGTTGGGAGCTACTTAAAGACAATGATTAATCATTAGAGTACAGTTATCCAGGCCTTTGTTCCGCAGAGCTGCTGGGCCAACCTGTGGTTAGCAGCCGACTGCAAACTGCTCACACTGCCCAGGCTCTTTTCCTTTGTGACAATAAAAGTCACAGTTGTCCCCCATTTAGGTGGCCAGGATTTTGTTTTGTTTTAATACTTACCTGTGTTATCATTTAAAAATCAAAGCCAGAAAGCCCAGCACTTTCTGTGAGGAGTGGTGTGACCTAGTTTAGGCAGTAGTGATTTTATGGCTAGAATCTATATATTCAAGGCCGTGCTGACTGTGGTCTTTTTATAGGTTTATAAAAGGAAAACGGAAGCTGCCAAAAAAGAGTACCTGAAGGCCCTGGCCGCATACAGGGCGAGCCTGGTGTCCAAGGTAAGCTGCACAGGTGGGTGGTCCCTCTCAGAAGAGTTACAATTTTGAATTGGCCCTGAACCACTGGAAACATAAATCAATTTCTATTAAAATTGATAACATAGCATCTTGAACCACTCACAAACTTACCATGAGTTAATTAAGCATCTGAATCTAAAGATTTCCAAAAGAATCGATGGCTCCTATCAAAGTGTGTTCAAGATCTTTAAACACATTCCAGTAGTCTCTCTGTCTTTGTGTTAGGAGCTAAGCTCTGTGTTAATATTCTCTGAGGTATGTTTGCCTGGCATTTGTGGACCTCCAGTGATTACCTTATTGTAATTGGGGATGTTGCATTTTGACCGGGCACTCGATTCATTTAAATAAATAAACGTCATGCTTCTTTAAAATAAAATCATGCTCCACGGACTGAAATAAGACATTTACATATGTATTGTTTGTAACATATACAACAGAACACAGTATATTAGAAAATGCACCAATATCCCAAAGCAAATGGCACTGCAGATTACCTCAATGCAAAAGACACATTATATAATTTAAAAAAAAACAACACCCATTTAGTTAACTTTTTCTGTTACCTTCCTTAAATTTAAGAAGGCTTTGTTGTAGTTGTGGTTGTTTTTAAGTGCCGTCAAGTTGGTTCCACCACAAGAACAGCTGGTGAGCTTGAACTGCCAACATTGTGATTCAAGCAGCCTTTTCACCCCAGCACATTGACCAGCAATGCCACACCAGGACTCCATGAAGACTTTAGGGATGATCATTTGACCTTAATATGTTTCTGCTCTGATTCAGATTCTTTGACAAGCAGACTTACCTTTTCTTTGTCTTTGTATTATGTCATGTGCCACATAGCACCTCAGGGCATAGTAGACGTCACTGGCAAAGCCATCTTAAAAGGGATTAGTCCTTTCTTCTCGCTCTTCCTCACCTGAGTTGTTTCTTTTGTATATTAAAGCCTGTATTTGACAGCAGCTCAGATTCAGACCAACAGAGGTCCTTTTGCTCTTATGGACAGCTCCCATAATACTTGTTACTTCATTGTTGTTATCTGCCATTGGGTATGTTCCAACTCATAGGGGATCTAAGGAACAGCTGGTGAATTTGAACCACCAACCTTGTGGTTAGCAGTCCGGTGCTATAGGGTCACACCAGGACTCCTGTGTCCTTCACGAGAAAGAGAAAAAAAAACATCTAGCAGGTCAGTGTGGTGGTGGTGGTTTGCTTTGGAGTCGGTTCCGACTCATAGCAACCCTGTACAGGGTTTCCAAGGCTGTAAATCTTTATGGGAGCAGAATGCCTCATCTTTGTCCCGCAGAATGGGACAAAGTTTCGAACTGCTGACCTTGTGGTTCACAGCCCGATTCGTAACCACTACACTACCAGAGCTCACTGCTCTGGGAATTTGGAAGACACACAGTGGAAGATACCTAAGGGGACTTCAGAAAGCTTGTGGAAAAATTCCGTTATCTCTTCATTCCATTTTCCACGAACAGTTTGAAATGCCTTCTGGCAGTTTCTGTTGTCAAATGTGGATGTTGGCCACAACCCTTTGATTGTTTGGCTGCAGATGTTAAGCACTGAGGTCTGGTTGGTTGTTGACTGGCTGGAGTGAAGAGAGTAGAGTAACAGTATGTATACACTTCCTAATCAGATCATATAGTCCTTCACTTACCCAGAAACAGGTACAGGTGAGTGTGTGCATTAGGGTGTGAGTAATTTAACAACACATGGGTTTAAGCCGAGACCCAGTAAGTGCAGACATTTAGGAAGTAGCAGCCTTCAAGTCTATGAATGACTTAGAAGAACTAACTTGTTGAACGCTACAATCAGGATTCGGAAGTATTTAGAATGAAACGCAATGATTCCAGAACTAATAGGATGGAATAAATTCCAAATCTAAAATAGTCCTTTTTTTTTTTTTTTTTTTTTGTAACTAAGTGCAATTTGAGAAGTTCCAAGATTTATATTCAGAGACCTAGTGCACAGGAAATTAGTCCTCGATGGTGTCAGTTTAAAATCCCTTTGACCTGAGCCCAAAGTGTGAACTCGCTGCTCTGTATACATCTAAGGGTACAGTGTAAGGATTTGAGCAGCTCAGAAAACCAGGTTCTGTCTCAGCTTCCGCGGTTTACAGAGCCAGGTGAAGACCGAAAACCAGGTCCTAGTAGGCTAATTGAAAATTGGGAAAGGTGGAGGGTGGATTTGGGGGCATATGATCCTCATCCTTGGTGGCACGGTGGGGTAGGCATTGGGCTATGACTCCCACAGGGTTTGGCAGTTCTCCATGGGAGAAAGAGGGCACTCTCATCTCTCTGTCTGTCTGAGATTTACAGTCTTGGAAACCTGGTATAGGGTTGCTATGAGTTGGATTTGATGTGACGACACTGAATTACATAAGGAAAGCAGAAATCGGTCCCTATGTCCCTAGATAGAAGAACTAACTAGTCCAAGCGGGGAGGCTGCAGGAGGCAGGATTTCAGCCTCAACATGTTGTTGATAAGTGCCATCAAGTCAGTTCTGACACCTAGCGACCCTATATAGGGTTTCCAAGGAGCGGCTGGTAAATTTGAACCACAAACCTTGTGGTTCAAACCGACCTGAAGGTCAAGTGCTTATCCTATGGCACCAACCGTGGGCTTATCATATTGAATTGATACGTTCGACTCCCTCCTCCTCCTCCAGATGTGCCCTTACTGTATTCTTCATTCAACCACAAAAGAAAATAGCACCACTGGTGGCCATCAAGTTGATTCCAGCCCACGGAGTACTGTGGGGCAGAAGACAACTGGGCTCTGCAAGGGGTTTCAGTGGCTCTAATTTTCTGGAATTAGGTCTTCAGACCTTTTTTTTTCAAGGTGCCTCTGGCTGGACTCAAACCTCCAACCTCTAGGATAGCAGCTAAGTGTGTTAACTGTTTGCACCACCTTGTGAGCCCCCACACACAGGTGCTCCCACAAACCCATAATTTTTGAGCCCTGGTGGTGCAGTGGTTAGGTGCTCAGCTGTTAACTGAAAGATCCACATTCAAACCTACCAGTGGCTCTATGGAAGAAAAGACGTGGTGTTCTATTTCTGTAAACTGGAAGACCCTGAGGGGCAGTTTTACTTGGTCATGTTGTTGTTGTTAAGTGCCATTGAGTTGGTGTGGACCCATAGCGACCCTATATAGGATTTCCAGGGAGCGGCTGGTGGGTTTGAACCGCCAACCTTGCAGTCTAGTGCGTTCTCCTGCAGTGCCACACCCGGACTCTGCCATATGGGGTCACCATGAGTGACTGATGTAAAGGCATACAGCAATAGCAGAGAAAGAAAAAAAAAAAGAGTCATTAAGAGGAATCATTCCAAACACTGTTTTCATTAGTAAAGAGGTAATTATATAGTTTTACTAAAAATTTTATGGTTTGTCTCCATTTTGAGCTACTTGTTGATCTTATAACAGAGTCTACAAAGTCATATAGGTGTTGGACATTCTCCTCTAGTTGTGACTCCTTTGATGAATTCTGGTGATCCTTGAGAATATCTATTAAACTAAAACTTCTAAAGTTGCAAAGAATGTCAATTTAGTATCTCTAAGGAATCATGTTATTTTTTTAATATTCAGATGAGCACTGTTTTAAGTAAGTAATCATGCAAATACAGGACTTAGAAGTTTTCTCGTGGTGGTTGCTGTTGATCAAAAGAAATACCTACCATTCATTCAAGGAGTCCTGAGTGGTGCCGCAGAATAAGCGCTGGACCACAGATCGGTTTGACCAGCTGCTCCTTGGAAACCCTATACGGGACCGCTGTGAGTCTGAACCGACTCGATGGCACTTAACAACAACAACAACCATTCACTGAGGTGATCTGGTAGTGTAGATCACTACTACACTAACACTTGCAGTTAGTTGTGCTACTAGCTGCAAGACCAGCAGTTTGAATCTACCAGCCACTCGGATGGAAAAAGATGAGGCTTTCAGTTCCCATAAAGATTTACAGCCTGGAAACCATCTCCAGCTTCACTAGGAGTCGGAACAGACTCCACGGCACATTGCCACTAACATTCACCAAGTGCTTCCTGTAGGCCAAGAACTGTCCTACATGTTTAAGACATGGAGTTAATTGAATTCTTACAACCTCTACACAGGTAGGTACCATATAGTCCCATTTTGTAGATACTGGGAACTGAGGAGCAACAGTTTTCCCAAGATACAAAGTTGTTAATTAATGGAGCTGGCTTTGACTTCAAAGCGATCTGAATTCCACTGACTTTCAATATTACACGCTCTGTGATGAGATGCTTACAGCCAGACATGCTGAAGAATTGGGCTGAAGTATGTGTGGTGGCTCTCTTTTTCCCCAGCAGTGCTGTACAACAAACCACTCCTGAGTCTGGTGACTAAGACAAATAGACAGTTATTTTCTCTGACTGCTAGCTAGCTGATTCTTCAGATCTAGACCGGGCTCAGCAAGGGGGTCAGCTTGTGGGTCAGAGGGGCTTGATCATCCACGTATATGGTAGTCCACTGCTGGTTCGTCAGGGGTCGGGCAGCTGTGTCCCAGGTCATAGAGACAGGGGAAAAGTGTAGGGCCTCTGGTGGCATCAGCTGGCCACTGGGACAGTATTGCATCACCGCATTCCTAGCCAGAGCTAAGGCACAAGGAGCCCAGATTCAGGGGCTAGGAAATTGGACTCCATCTCTCAGTTGGAGGAGCTAATAAGTCTCCAGATAAAGGTGACTGGCAAGCAGGAACAGTAGTGGCTACTTCTGTAATTAACTTACCATTACCTGTATATGTTAACATTCTGGAATTCCCTTCGCCCCACCCACCCAAATCACAGGCTGCCGCAGAATCAGCAGAAGCGCAGACCATTCGTTCTGTTCAGCAAACCCTGGCTTCGACTAATCTCACATCCTCTCTCCTTCTCAACACTCCACTCTCTCAACATGGGACAGTTTCAGCATCACCTCAGACTCTCCAGCAATCGCTTCCTCGGTCCATTGCTCCCAAGCCCTTAACCATGAGACTGCCCATGAACCAGATTGTCACATCAGTCACCATTGCAGCCAACATGCCATCGAACATTGGGGCCCCACTGATAAGCTCCATGGGAACAGCCATGGTTGGCTCAGCGTCCTCCACCCAAGTGAGCCCTTCAGTGCAAACCCAGCAACATCAGATGCAGTTGCAGCAGCAGCAGCAGCAGCAACAGCAACAACAGCAGCAGCAGCAGCAGATGCAGCAGATGCAGCAGCAGCAGATGCAGCAGCATCAAATGCATCAGCAAATCCAGCAGCAGATGCAGCAGCAGCATTTTCAGCACCACATGCAGCAGCACCTGCAACAGCAGCAGCATCTCCAGCAGCAAATCAGCCAACAGCAGCTGCAGCAACATCTCCAGCTGCAGCAGCTGCAACACATGCAGCACCAGTCTCAGCCTTCTCCTCGGCAGCACTCCCCGGTCACTTCCCAGATCACGTCCCCCATCCCTGCCATTGGGAGCCCCCAGCCCACCTCTCAGCAGCACCAGTCGCAAATACAGTCGCAGACACAGACTCAAGTATTATCGCAGGTCAGTATTTTCTGAAGGCGCATGCGGCAAATGGAGTTGGTGTCTCGAGGAGGGTGGCATAGTAGGGTAAAACCGGATGTGGCGGAAACTTGTAAGCTGGTGTTGGTTATGCAGCGATGTGTAACAGATCAAACGGTCCTCTCACGTGTCTATTAGATAGGCAATAAGAACTACAGTGTAGCTGGCTATCATCGTTTAGCTAACTATAAATCACTTGGTTTTTAAACAGGAAAAGCTGTGCTCTTTTATGTGATGCCTTTTTTATTTATTCAGGCTATACCTACAATATGTGAATCAAACCCCTTAATGAATCCTGGGACATACTGATGACTATAAACTGGCCTCTCTCAGTCACAGAACACGGCCTTATTTCTCCCCAAGTGAATAAGCCACACTTCAAGGCTCTTTGAACGTCCGAAGCCCTAAAAATAAAAAAGCACAGTTGTAACTACCTGAAATATGAAGATTCAGTTTCATACAAACGTTTGTATGATATGAATAGTTGATGGCGTTTTTTTGTCATGAGAAAACTAATGTAAATCACAGACTTTTGCCAAAGCTCTTATTTTTTTTCTTAAATTTCTCCAGAAGAGAGAAAAAAAAAATTGCAAGTGATTAGATTCAATTATTGACTCGCTTTCACTTTTTCTCCAAATCAAACTGCAGTATCTGTTGTAACAACACCTATGACCGCTGTTAGCCCATGATGTCATTCCAACTAGAAGAAATGTGAATATTATATTCTGTGTTTTGAGTGATGAGTTTCGAAAAATAAAAACACTGTATTTTTCAAAGGGAAATGCACTTAAATGGAAACAGTTATTACAAAAGTTAAGATTTAAAAAAAAATCAAGAGGTTTTATTATGATGTAATACTGGTAGAATATTTAAAAGGGACAGCACATCTGAATAATCAGTGTAAATATTTTCTTTCAAAGTTGTAAGTTTTCATATCATGTGTTGTAAAGTTTTCATAAATGAGGCTTTAAGGTAAACACTGGTGGCATAAACCATTCATTGCTACGTTGCTTATTGTGTTTTTATGCTGTTTTATACTTTTTTTATGAGTTACGATAGCAGCAATTAAGTTGTTTGTATTTTGCTTAACTAAAAAAATGCTTTTATCTTGCTATAGAATAAACACATTTCAGTAAAAACCGTGGACTGTATTTTGATGCAACAACAAGGAAACTGTTCACGTTTCAAATAAAATGATCTGTCAGATTTCATTTTTTGGTCCTTGAATACGTATAGCAGGGGGGAAGATGCCACAGATCAAGTGTTATTTCTGCCCAAACATTCTCTTCCGTTTTCAGTGGGAAATACCGTAATAATTGCTAAGGATTTGGATTGTACCTCCAAAACAGGACTCTTTTATTTAAAAAAAAAAAAAAAAAAGGCAAAAAACCTTTGGAAGTATTTTTGCAATTGTCTTTTTCTTAAGGTAAGTATATAGAGAAAAACATTTGTTTTTCTACATGGAGCTAGAACTAGGTGGCACTGAGTTATTGCTATTTAAATGGATGGTGAATGCTGAGTATTTTATTTATTTTTTATTTTTCCTCATTCATTTTTTTTGAATATCTTAAACCAAAATAATTCTTTCGTGCCTGGTTCTTGCCCCCTTGTCTTCCTCTGTAGTGGCTCCTCTTTGAAAGTAGTCTGACCACTCTCCCCTGTTGTCTTGCATGATTAATTACAGCATCTGTCCTGTCAGAAGCTATAATGAAGAGGTCTTGATAAAAATTGCAAATTACCACTGGCAACAGTCTTAAACTGCTTATGATAAAATGAAAATTAAAAACAGCAAGTGTCAACCCTGACCAGAATCTTTTCTCTGGAAAGAAAGACGGTGTGAATGGTGATGTGCCCAGCTAGCATGTGCAAAACTGAAAAAAAAAAAAAAACCCGTGCAATCTGGATTCCTAAAAGTTGTTGTTGGAGTTCAGAGAATATTTACTATATGTTGTGGCTTATGAATAATGAATCCAGCTTTCAATATTTCATAATCCTTTTGTACATTGCATTATGTACAAATATTGAACAGCAAGAGATTCTAATTATAAATTTATGGATTTCTTGCTGTAGAAAAACGTATGTCTAAATCGAGGCTTTTCATAAGATGTATTAGTTGACAGGTAGCAGTGTTCAAACAGTCTTAGAATGAGGCCTGATCACATCTACAAGGGGGGATTGGATTCTACAAAGACACGATCTGCTTACATCAGACCCATCAGAGGCAAAGCTGATGGTGGAAGATTTTCTATGAATTGAAACTAACATTACATAACAATAAGACCCGTTTTATATTCTGCTGTGAAACCTTTAGACAAATGTCTTCAAAATTAATTGCTAAACTACATGTGACAGTAATTGTGTATTAGTTCTGTAATTGTCATTTTGAAAACCCATGAAGTATTGCTTGGAAAAAAAATGTCACTAGTGATAAGGCTTAATTGCAAGTGAAGTCTGTTTTCAGCTGTTTGCAGTTAGAAGCAGGTGTTGTAACATCTATTAAATGATTTTATAAATCTTGGGTTTTATCACCTTTGATTAAATGCTGCTAAGCTACTGACAGTCAATTCCAGGGGAAAAATAGTTTAATAACTCCAGTTTAAAAAATTAATCACCAGGCCAAACTATATACTGTCATGTGTTGGATAACGTGCCGAATATAGTCTGGGAAATAGGATGTTAGATGGTTTGGACGTTGTGGAATACCATTTTACATACAGGCAGACCACCCCCCTGGGTTATGAATGAATTTGGTTCTTAATTCTTTAAGTCAAATTTGTACATCAGTCAGACCCGTACCAGTGTGGTTTCTAACAACAAATGTTTGTCTTGTAATATAGTGTACCTACCGTCTTATGCATACAAAAACATTAAAGACTTCCAGATCACTTGAAACGCATTTAGCATAGTAATACAGTAATTATAATAATACTTTGATACACATTGCAAAGTAGCGCCTGTTTGTTATTACAGACCATTGTATGTACCTCATATTTTTAATATAATAAGGCTTTAATGGAGTTGGAAGCACGGAAGGATATAAGGTCAGGCGGTCGGTCAGACACTGCAAGAGCTGACGTTATGTATAGCGCATGACTATTTAAAATGTCAGAAGGCTTGAATCATGAAAATAATTCCCCAACCTTCTTAACCAAATTATTTTTCTCAGAATTTTCTAAAGCATATTTTTATGTATCAACTTGTAATTTCAATTTATACATGTGACTGGTTTCTCTTCCTGAGATGGGAGTTCTTCATGTAATTTTTTGGTACAGGTGAGAAATAAATCAGGGTAATGAGAAATTGGCATGAGGAATGTGGTATCTGATTAGGGTGACCCGCTGACATTAGCAGCCTCCCAGGCCCCCACCTCCATCATACACACCTTTTTATCCTCTCCCTTCTCCTCCCTCCCCACCTCCTGCCATGGTGAATATTTTCTTCTCCGGTTAATCATGGTCTTTTTTTTTTTTTTTAAATGCATTAACCTGTATGAAGAACCTAAGTAGTTAAGTAGTTTTCAGTTTTTAACTGACACAGGGTCATTAGTTACTGACTCAAAAGAACAAAAGCTGAAATGCCTTCATGTAGCATAATTTCTGCAATATATTATTACCACCTGATGGAGGTTTGAAAGCTCACTAGACAGATGGATTGCTATCTCAGGTTTAAGTAGGAGTCCTCGGCGTGCCCATTCAGTGGGCTCTAGACATCTGAATGGTTTCTTTCCCATTTCTCACTTCATGGAGCATTTTTCAGCACTGGACTTCAATCTAACCTTTCCTTACCCCCACCCCCACCCCCTTTGTTTGGCTTTTGTTTTGCAACAGCTGTTATTATCGTTTTTTGGTCAGCTGTGATTGCTGGAGGCAAAATAGGACCAGATGGTGTTTTGCTCTGCATGAATGGAGAGTTAGAGGAGTTGGGATTGAATAGGCCAAGTTTGAATGGTGTCTATGCACCACCTGCCTGCCTTCGCCGTGGCGTGCACATCACAGTAGCATGATCCGCCTCAGACCTCCTCGAGTCGGCTGGGAAAGTGGAGAGCTGGGGTGCATGTCCCCCCTATTTATTGATCTTCCATGCACTAACAGAATAATGTCGTGTACAGTCCATTTGAGTTAATTGGATGTGACGCAGCATGGACATGTAATCTATCATTCTGGAATTCTGGTTCGCTTTAAGGATTTCATTGCTCCCTAAAATGCACACAAGCACACTCGGTAATAGCAAACATTAATGGGCTAAGGATGCACAAGTTAGGAAAAAATAAATAAATAAAAGATGTCTGTCTAAAATAGACATAGGAGCCTGACATTGAGGTTTAGAAAAAGAGAGATTTTTAAATGAGTTGCATCAGTTAATAATGCAAGGTAGCGAGAAAAACTACAATTCTGCTTTGAGCAGAGAGCGTTCGTGTTTGTAGGTTATCCATTAAGAAATAAGAAATGTGCCTTCCTAGGAAAACCACACATACCTACACCCATCCTTGAATTAGCTTAAAAAATCTTTCTGTTGGCTTTCTTTTTTTTTTTCCTTTTTATTGTAAGAATGAATATAACACATTTGACAGTTTCCCATTTTTCACATGTACAACTTTGACACCAATTACATTAATCACGTTCAACCATCACCAACACTAAATGTCAAATTAGGAGAATATTCCTGGATATATGAACTTCTCTCCCAGTATCCCCAGATACACTTTGCTTTGCTACCCCAACTAACCTTAGAGGATAAACACTTACCCTGACTTTTGAAGTTGGCGAACAGGTTTAACCTGTGCTGATTGTAATCCTACAGGTGTGTGTGTTGAGAGTCTCACTGTGCCTTACCAAGGAGACAGGAAACAAGGAGACAGTTCTATTTGCCTACGGCCCTAATTACTTAAATTTACTTCTGCTACATGCAAAACGCTGATAAGTCCCACAGGAAATGCAAAAATAAACAAGACCTTCTGTTGACTCTGTATATGTTAGACATTTTTCATAACGTTTTTTTAAAAAGAATTCACTAGCAAGGTCATTCCTAACTTTGGTGAGGGGGTGGGGGAAGGGAGGTGGTGTGGTGTGTGTGTGTAAGGAGAGGTATCCATAAGGTAGAATGGTTAGTGTGCCAACAAGACGCATAAAACAAGTGTGTCTTTTTTTGAATCTGAGAAAATTACAAATCATTTAGAAAGGAAAGAGATTGCAATAGGTTAGCAGTATTAGAGAAAGCTGCATGAACTTACTGACATTTAAGATGTGCCTTGAGAGCTGGGCAGGATTTCAGTAGACCAAGATGGAAGTTAGCTCCTGGTAGAAGTACAAGTCATGGCCAATAAGGGAGAGCAAGACAGCATTCATGTTGAGAGCGCCAAAACTCACTGTACTGGAGTCAATTCCAACTCAGCGCGCCCCCATGTGTTAAACAGGAGAACTGCTGCTTAGGGTTCTCTTCACATAACTCCTCAGGCAAGCTCATCTCCAGGCCTTTCTTTCAAGGTGTTGGGTGGGTAGGTTTGAGCCTCCAACCATGAAGCATCCTAGCCCAAACTCTTCAGTTCATCCAGGGACCTTGTTGAAAGCACTGAAACTTTTGGTACCTAGTCCAACTCCTAGTGACCTGGTAGGACAGAGTAGAACTGCCTCGGAGGGTTCCTGGGCTATCGTGTTTATGAGAGCACACGGCTCATTTTTCTCCTGAGGAGAGGCTGGTGTTCGAATCACCGACCTTGCCGTCGGCACTTGAACACTACTGCACTCCCAGTGCTCCTCTGGGAAAACAGACACCAGTAAAACAAGAGGAGAGAATCAAGCAAACACACATTATGTAACTAACTCAAGGGGCACCCGTGGGAGAAAGTCCTGGGAGGAAGTTTGGGGTCCAATTTGTAGAAGATCTGGGGACTTGTGCTGAGCTCACAAAGCCATGGCATTACCGGAACCAGAAAGAAAGGACCAGAGTTGGCAGGAAGAACTACCATGTTTAATTTTGTTTTCTCTTAGGAGGGAGTGTCCCGCAAGTACTAAAAGCAGAAGGAAAGAACAAGTTGAGAATGGCTTTCAAAATTTTAATGATTTAAATGCATAAAGAAAGCCATGAGTTCATGTGCGTTCTCACCACTCTGGGACAAGAGCACCATGGACGAAGCCAAATCAAGGCTCTTTGGGTAGCAACTGGAGAAGTAAGCCTTATCAGTACCTTAGCATCAAGGGGGAGATCATTTTC